ATGTCTTGCATTAGCACATTATTCTCAGCCTACCGACCTCCAGCTTCTTTTTGCCTTCGAGTATGTTGCAAAGATGTATCACAATCCAGGTAAGCATCGCCTTGGTAAATGGTTTCTTTTACCATTGCTTCAGCTAAAATGGTTTAGTTTTGATATGGTTTTTAAAAACTGTCACGCTATAACTATACTGGCAAATGAACAAGCTCTGTATAACCTATTTTATAGCAGATCTTTTCTTATAGTAGATAAAGCCAATGGTGTTGATCCAGGAGGTGGCACAGATAACTGCTCAAAGACTCCACTATTTGAAACCTTCTGTGACTGGGATCGAGAGATTAAGAGAACCCGAGCCACTGATTGGAGAGTGTGTTCTGTAAACGAGGGCTACATGATCTCCAAATGGTAAGTATCCATCCAGAATAACTTTTGTGACATGACAGAGTAAATAAAAGCTTTAAACCTTTCACTTCTCCTGTTCATTTAGTCTATGTGGCTGCTTTTATAGCTTTTAGGACGACCTAAAGGAAAATAGAACCTTAGAACCTTTACCGGTAGTAAACAAGCAGGGGTTGGGTTTTCTTTACTACAAGAATTAAATCAGTAGGGCATCATCTGAATTTTTATTCCATTTTTTTTTAAAATACCAATCTGACCCACAGGCAATTTGTCACCTTTTCTGCAGATAGTACAAGTAAATATAAATTATTTTTGAACAGTCTTGGGCAGGTCAAAGCAGGCGACTGTTCTCTCCCCAGAGTGAAATGATGCTCCCTGAGGGGATCACATCTTCTTGACTCGTTCAGGCTTATAAAAAGTAGTGTGATGCACTACAATACAGATTAAAGCTAAGCCATTTAAGGGTTTCTATTTTAGGCTTAGTCTTCTCCGCACCATATGTTCGTCATATGAAAAAAGCCATCCTGAGTACAAAACAAATTCCTGTCTCTAATGTGTATCATTCATAGAACCATGTGGCAGACTATAGCGTTTAATTTGTCTCTTGCGTTTATTGACAGCCAAGATCTGTCTGTTTTCATTGTGAACCAATTAATTAGTAGTGTCATTCCTCTGGGACTGGGCTTGTTAAAAGCTTGTCAGTTGCCACTCTTGAGCTTTATTCCACGATGCTATCACAGCCTCCTGAGTGCGATTCAAGTAATTGCATAGCATATGGCAGTCTAATGTGGTCCTCCCTCATTTCTTTTTCCATCGAATGTATATTTATGACTGTTTATGGACATGTGTGAATCTTCACAGGGTACACTAAAAATAATGCCTGTCCTATTTAAATGAGTTGCATATGTTGTTTATGTGCAAAATAAATAAGTACTGCAGAATTAGTTTTGGTATTATTTTCGGTAAGGCAGTAAGTGTGTTAAAACTGGCTAAAATCTGCTATAACCCTCTTTAAAGCAGAACTCCGGGTGAAGTTTTTCTTAACCCTTGCACGGGGTTACCCTCGCCCTGCAAGGGTTGTGTTATTTTTAGTCTATGTTCAAAAATAAAGTTATACTCGCCCGATCCTCAAAAGCAGCTTGCTCTTAGACCGGTCCCTGGAGTCTCTCTCCACTGCAGCAGTCTAAAGTCCTGTGAGTCAACACGTTCTATACACGGTGTATGAGGATGCAGAGGGACATACCATCACTGCAGTGGAGAGGAGAGAGGCAGGAGGGAGTGCTGTCACAGCTGGCGGCCTTGAGGATACGGTGAGTATATCTTTTATATTTGAACCTTGACATAAATGAGCACCTAATCCTTGCAGTTTGGGGGTAGCCTCACTGCAAGGTTTAAGAAAAATTACACCTGGAGTTCTGCTTTAAAGCTATAACCGTCGCTCCCAATAAGTTCTATATTTATCACACATGGACACGAGCTAAATGGTGCTTTAAGGGCTTCAAGCAAGCTGCTCAAAGATTATCAAATGGTTGCTGAAGCTAATACAACATTAGTGGCAAATTGGTAAATTTTATCCCTGTGATATAACACTGATTCCATGGTGTGTTGCAAGCCCATTCAATATGAAAGGGCTGCCTTACCCTAACACACATTAACACGTGACACCATGCACATTAACGCAGTGGACAAAAATGGCATTGTGTGAATGGGGCCCTGTATATTCCTTGTGAGCTCCAGGCATTGAACAATCAAAGCTTCCGTGACATTGAACACTCAATGTCCCTGTTCCGCGAGCTTGCAAAGGAGAGTGCTGGCCATATGGATGCTGCTTAAGGTAGTATGTGCATATGATTGTGGATTGTAGTTTCAACATAATGGCACCTTGGTTATGGAGCATGAGAGAGTTGAGACACAAACTGTTGTGCTGAAATCCACTAATGTCAACTTCAAAGTAAAGAAGAAAATGGATGATAAATCAACCCACCAATACCAACCCAGAACTAAAATATTTTTGGGGTAGAGCTCATATCACTAAGTTACATTTCCACTGAAATTTGCATTGACAATATTTGCAAGTATTTTCGTGTGTGTTATTTTTTTGTTTCCAACCTGCAAATTGCAGTATTATATTTATTTTGCAATGCTTGTGGCTGTAAAAAGACTCAATTTGTCCATATTAATATGGCAAAAGAGATTACATGAAATGAAATGCCATTATGTGTACACTATATTGACAAAAAGTATTGGGACACCCCTCCAAATCATTGGATTCACGTGTTCCAATAAGCTCCATGGGCACAGGTGTATAAAATCACGCACCTAGGCATGCAGACTGCTTCTACAAACATTTGTGAAAGAATGGGACGCTCTCGGGAGCTCAGTGAATTAAAGCGTGGTACCGTGATAGGTTGCCACCTGTGCAGTAAGTCCATCCGTGAAAGTTCCTTGCTACTAAATATTCCACGGTCACCTGTTAGTGGTATTATAACAAAGTGGAAGCAACTGGGAACAACAGCAACTCCGCCACAAAGTGGTAGGTCACGTAAAATGAAAGAGCGGGGTCAGCGCATAGTGCACAGAAGTCGCCAACTGTCTGCAGAGTCAATAGCTACAGACCTCCAAACTTCCTGTGGCCTTCAGATTGGCACAACAACAGTGCGTAGAGAGCTTCATGCAATGGGTTTCCATGGCTGAGCAGCTGCATCCAAGCCTTACATCACCAAGTGCAATGCAAAGCATCGGATGCACTGGTGTAAAGCACACCGCCACTGGACTCTAGAGAAGTGGAGACGTGTTCTGGAATGACGAATCACACTTTTCTGTCTGGCAATCCGATGGACATGTCTGGGTTTGGCGGTTGCAAGCAGAACGGTACTTGCCTGACTGCAATGTGCCAAGTGTAAAGTTTGGTGGAGGGGGATTATGGTGCAAAGTTGTTTTTCAAGGGTTGAGTTTGGCCCCTTAGTTCCAGTGAAGGGAACTTTTAAGGCATCAGCATACCAAGACATTTTGGCCAATGTTATGCTCCCAACTTTGTGGGAACAGTTTGGGGATGGCCCCTTCCTGTTCCAACATGACTGTACACAAGTGTACAAAGCAAGGTCCATAAAGACTCAGATGAGCGAGTTTGGGGTGGAGGAACTTGACTGGCCTGCACAGAGTCCTGACCTCAAACCGATAGAACAACTTTGGAATGAATTAGAGCGGAGACTGCAAGCCAGGCCTTCTCGTCCAACATCAGTACCTGACCTCACAAATGTGCTTCTGGAAGAATGGTCAAACATTCCCATAGACACACTCCTAAACCTTGTGGACACCTTCCCAGAAGAGTTGAAGCTGTTATACAACAAAGACTTAAACTGCTTAATGCAAACAAAGCAGTGGGTCCGGATAACCTGCACCCCAAGGTACTTAAGGAACTAAGCCAGGTTATAACTAGACCATATTGCTCATTTTTAAGGATTCCTTAATGACTGGTATAGTGCCAAGTGATTGGCGGAGGGCTACGGTAGATCCAATATTCAAAAAGGGGGCAAGATGCCAACCTGGGAACTATAGGCCGGTCAGTCTAACATCGGTAGTTTGTAAACTGCTAGAGGGAATAATTGGTTGAATTTGTTCAGGATAATGGGATAGTTAATAAGAATCAGCATGGGTGCAGGAAAGACCGTTCCTGCCTGACTAACTTGCTAACTTTTTATGAGGGGGTAAGTAGAGATATGGATGGAGGGAGGTCGGTAGACGTGATATATCTGGATTTCTCTAAGGCTTTTGATACGGTACCACAAACGCTTACTACACAAGCTGAGATCTATGGGCATAGATGAAGTGGTGTGTACATGGATAGAGAACTGGCTACGGGGGTCGTGTCCAGAGGGTATCTATAAATGGCACCTTTTCGGACTGGGCTAGTGTAATGAGCGGTGTGCTTCAGGGTTCTGTGCTGGGTCCCATACTGTTCAACCTATTTATTAATGATATCAGGGAGGGAGTGAATAGCCATGTTTCAGTGTTTGCAGATGATAAAAAAATAGGGAGGGTATTAGAAACAGACCTAGACAGTATAACCTTACAGGAGGATCTGGATAAAATAGGGGAATGGGCAACAATATGGCAGATGAGGATTAATGTCGATAAATCCAATGTAATGCACTTTGGACATAAAAATAAACAAATGGGCTGTGCCATCATGGGTATGCCACTAGGGAAGTCAGAAATAGGAAAAGATTTGGGGGTCATTGTGGACCATAAACTGAATGGTAGCTTGCAGTGCCAGGCTGCTGTAAACAAAGCTAGCAGGGTCTTGTCCTGTATTAAGAAGGGGATGTATTGCAGGGACAAGTCTATAATTGTGCCACTTTATCAATCATTGGTTCAGCCTCATCTGGAGTATGCGGTCCAGTTTTGGTCACCAGTACTAAGAAAAGATGTCCTTGAGCTGGAGAGAGTCCAGCGGAGGGCAACCAAACTAATTAGGGGAATGGAGGACCAGAGCTATGAGAAGAGGCTACTGAATTTAAACATGTTCACGTTGGAAGTAAGGAGATTAAGGGGGGATATGATTTTCATGTACAAGATGTTCAATGGGGACAGCAACATCAGCAACAAACTCTTTAAAATGAACTCCATTACAAAAACTAGAGGCCATCACCTAAAATTGGTGGAAAAGAAATTCCAGCACAAGGGGCGAAGGGGGTTCTTCACAGTAAGAGCGGTTAGGGTCTGGAACTCACTGCCACAGGCGGTGAATTCAGCAAAGAGTGTGAAATTGTTCAAGAAACTTTTGTACGATTTCCTAAGGGACTGTAATATACAGGGGTACAAGTAGTCCTAAGCATGAGATGATCCTATATAGGTTGGACTTAATGGACTGATGTCTTTATTCAACCTCAAATACTATGTAACTATAGCTGCAAAGGGTGGGCCAACTCAATATTGAACCCTACAGACTAAGACTGGGATGCCATTAAAGTTTATGTGCGTGTAAAGGCAGGTGGCCCAATACTTTTGGCAATATAGTGTATATTTAATTGGCCTGGTAAGCGTGTGTTGTTGGTTTGGAATGGTTTACAACCAGACTGTAGTAAATGCCACAGTGATTAATAGACTACAATCTCATTCCATTTGTTTGAATATTCACACAACTAATAGCTTTTCTGTGTCTTTCTAGCCTTCCAGAATACTTTGTTGTCCCTTCCTCTTTGGCAGATACAGATCTAAAGCAGTATTCATACTCATTTTTTGGAAGACGCATGCCAGTGAGTATGTATTGACTGAAGCCTTTTCCAGGCAATGGTGTTGACTTTCTATATCTTAAATTATGCATATACAGCATTTATTAACCTTTTTAAGTGGATTTTTAATGACCCATCCCAAGACTTGAAAGCATTTGTAGCACTAGAGACCAGTAATGGCCGAGAGTAACCTTTTCTGTTGCGGATGTGAACTTCTTTTTTTTTATTTGATGCAGCTGTGGTGCTGGAACCATTCTAATGGAAGTGCGCTTGTGAGGATGGCGAGCATTAAGGACCTGTTACATCAACGCAAAATAGACCAAAGGTAAGGGAACTATGCACACAGACCTTTTTGGAGGGAAGTACATACTTTGTCATTACCATGAAAGCAGCATTCGTTCATTCCTTAATGGAGGAATGCACATTTTTTCACAAACAGTAGCAGCGTAGACCGCAAAATCGAGCAGGGTTAAAAGAAAAAACAGGCTATTGTGTATAAGCTGGTAGCACAACAGGAAAAAGATTTCAAAGCAGCAACATGAGACGAAGTGCAATGCTGAGCAGAGTAGTACAAAGGGGGTCTGTTAGGAACTGCAGGTGTATGAATAGTAAGAGGCACTTGTGCGTTGTTTTCATTCTGTTTACATTTTGATGCATGAATATATTTAGACTATTGCTTTCTTTGTTTTTAATTATTAAGTTAGTCCGCTTCCACTATCACTTCATGGACTAAACCTTCAAATGTATTTCCAGTTTTGCAATCAAATTTAAGAAAACCCCTCTTATATGTTTATGTATTCACACAGTATATTGTAAACTTATTGAAAAGAAAATATTTCTTGCTTTTTTAGATGTTTTGCTACAGCAGGCAATATGGCTGATTCCAGGTTTTTCTCAGCACCTTCACAATGATCTCTCCTTATAGAAAGACCTAGGACTGAAATTTGAGGATTGTGTTTCCCTCAATAACTTCATTAACATACAGTGGAGAAGCCCCTCCTAACACTACAAAGAAGGAGAAGCAAGTAGAAATGTTAAACCCTTAAGAAGCCAAAAAAAAACCTAAGCCAAGTAAAAGCAATTTAAACTGCAGGAAGTACTTTTTTTTTTTTTTTTAGTTTATGCTATATGAATGGTAAAAAGTAACAAATTTAAAATAGATGTTATCTTAATTTGGCTGCAAATGTGGAAATACACTTAAAGGCAGTGGCGCCCACACTTTTTCATCTCGAGATCCACTTTTCAAATGACTAACTTCACAGAGATCTACCAAGGAAAAACACCTTCATTCAGGGGCGGAAGGGGGCGTGGCAGTGCATTGAAGTCAGTGCCCCCCGCGCACAGTGCGATCGCCCGTACCCAGAACGCAGGCACATTCCAGTCCAGTACGATCGGCAAAAATAATGCTTGCAGCATTTTTGCAGATCGCACTGGACAGGAACGCAGGCACTAATGCGATCACACTGCAGCGGGGGGCTTGGCTACGGTGCCATTGACTTCAGTGCAACCCCACGCCGCCTCTCACCCCTGAATGCAGGGAGCCGGCCGGCTTGTGTCCCAAGTGCATTCTAGAGGGTGAGCACTCAGACCTTTAGTGTGAACCGGCCTTCTCTCTTGGCTGTCTCATCTCTCACTTTCTCTGCTGTCTCATCTCTCACTTTCTCTGCTGTCTCATCTCTCACTTTCTCTGCTGTCTCATCTCTCACTTTCTCTGCTGTCTCATCTCTCACTTTCTCTGCTGTCTCTTCTCTCACTTTCTCTGCTGTCTCTTTTTTTACCTCCACTGCAGCAGCTTCCCATGTCTCCTCTCGTGCGCCGGCATCCTGTCCTCCCGTAGTACTCGCATGGCTGACATTGTGCACTGGGAGAGGTGTCCCGCCCCTTCCCGTCTGCGGCGTCTGACACATTCAGCCAGCAGCTGCACGATCACCGTGGGAGGACAGGACACAGGTCAGTGAGCCTATCGCGATCTACCAGTGTTCGCTTTGCGATCGACTGGTAGATCGTGATCGACCTAATGGGCACCCCTGCTTTAAGGGATATGTGGACCATAAAACTATGACTGCCATTGCTCCAGTATATCCTGTTTTAAGTAATGATCTTAATTTTACTGATGTGATCATTCTTCTCAATGTATTGGATTGTCTTGAAGCTCTTCCGCTCAGAAGAACTTTCCAAAGAAGAAAGTGAGCCTAATTTGTGGTCTCGGCATAGAAGGGAAACATCCTGTTCTTGGCATCCATCCATACACATCAGAGCTTCTGTCTGCTGCTCATTCGATCACACCTTGTGTTTGAAGTTTGAGCTTATTAGAAGATTTATGGTCATGTAAAAGCTCATAGCCTGAAGATATTCAAGACTATTTAAACCATCATCTTAAAAACCAACCTTCTTTTCCTTACTTAGGGTGTGTGGTGGAATCACCCGTAGTCACCCACTGAGGAGTGATGTTTACAAATGTGACCTAGATCATGGCCTCCCAACCACCCAGGACATTCAAGCTGCTTTCAACAAGCTCAAACAATTGTGTGTTAACGGTGAGTGCACCATACATTGTACTTTAACATTTTATTTCATGTTGCTCTCCTTTCTGTGGCTTCTAGTTTTTGGTTAACTTACAGAACATTTTAGGAGCTGAAGGCTAAGAAATGTATTACACCCATTTACTCTTATTGAGCATGTTAGTGCAAGGTGTAGAAATTCTAAATTCAACAGAAATCATCTCATAAGTGATCTGACTGCAGTAACTGCACACTAGTAACTGCAATGATTATATAATTTTCCAATTATATAATCATTGGAAAAGAACTGGGGACACAGAAGCATGACTAACGATAGAATAAAAGTAGAATCTTTAATAGAGTCATTCAAAGGAGAACTATGGGGGTAAGTGTTTTTCCCATAGTTCTCTTAAGGGTCACGGGAGGACATATACTAGTGCCCTCCTGTGACCCAAAGCTCAGTATACCGCAAGCTACAGCTCGCGGTATACTGAACTGCCGCAGCCGGGATGGATCCCGACATTACTGTCAAAATCCACCCAGCTGCGTTAGTGATAGCTGGCTCTGCCTATCTAGAGGCAGAGCCAGCTGTACCTGCCCCCTCCCCCGTCCGTTCCGTCAATCAGCGCTGGAGGATCGGACAGGGGAGGGGGGAATCCCTGCAAGGAGCCGTGAGTGACAGTCACAGCTCTCTGCAGGGACATGATCGAGAAGTGAGCGAGCGACGGTATGTGTTCGCTCACTTCTCGATCTATTGAGCCGACGTGTGACAGTTTTACTGTTATACGTCAGCTCGAACTATGAGGATGAGTGAAAATCACTCTCCTCATAGTTCTCTTTAAAAGTATTTAAATCGTTCAGAAAGCCTAAAACATAACTAAACTGCTGCCTTAGCTAAATAACTAATAGTATGGTAAGAATATAAACAAAAGTGGCCTAAAATTATGTTGTAAATACATCCACCCATACACTCAGCCTGACCATATTCAACATTTCCAAAAACGAGTTCAAAGGGACTCTGAACGTTAAATCTTAATGCATTCAAGTACCTTTTAATTATTAACAAAAATTTATCTTATGTGTGTATCACTCGGCTGTAGATCTTCAAATCGTCTCTTTTTTTAAGAATTATTAACAAAAACATAATTTATTTGTGCTGTAGAGCTTCAAATCATCTCTGAATTCATGGGGACACTGTCCTTCCTTCTGGAGGGTGGCTACTTTTGTTCCCCATGGTCCCTGTGTGTGGTAAAGTAGCCACCGCTCCAAGCTCGGCCCCATGATGGACTACAATCTCCATACAAATGAGTAAACTAAACAAATTGTAGTCCATCACAGGAGTGAGTTTGGAGCGGTGGTTACTTTACAACACACACACGGACCATGGGGAACAAAGGTAGCCAGCCTCCAGAAGATGATTTGAGGATCTACAGCTGAGTGATACACAAATAAGATACATTTTTCTTAATAGTTCAGGTACTTAAATCTTAATGTATTCAACTCCTGAAAGCCTCATCTGGAGTATGCGGTCCAGTTTTGGTCACCAGTACTAAGAAAAGATGTCCTTGAGCTGGAGAGAGTCCAGCGGAGGGCAACCAAACTAATTAGGGGAATGGAGGACCAGAGCTATGAGAAGAGGCTACTGAATTTAAACATGTTCACGTTGGAAGTAAGGAGATTAAGGGGGGATATGATTTTCATGTACAAGATGTTCAATGGGGACAGCAACATCAGCAACAAACTCTTTAAAATGAACTCCATTACAAAAACTAGAGGCCATCACCTAAAATTGGTGGAAAAGAAATTCCAGCACAAGGGGCGAAGGGGGTTCTTCACAGTAAGAGCGGTTAGGGTCTGGAACTCACTGCCACAGGCGGTGAATTCAGCAAAGAGTGTGAAATTGTTCAAGAAACTTTTGTACGATTTCCTAAGGGACTGTAATATACAGGGGTACAAGTAGTCCTAAGCATGAGATGATCCTATATAGGTTGGACTTAATGGACTGATGTCTTTATTCAACCTCAAATACTATGTAACTATAGCTGCAAAGGGTGGGCCAACTCAATATTGAACCCTACAGACTAAGACTGGGATGCCATTAAAGTTTATGTGCGTGTAAAGGCAGGTGGCCCAATACTTTTGGCAATATAGTGTATATTTAATTGGCCTGGTAAGCGTGTGTTGTTGGTTTGGAATGGTTTACAACCAGACTGTAGTAAATGCCACAGTGATTAATAGACTACAATCTCATTCCATTTGTTTGAATATTCACACAACTAATAGCTTTTCTGTGTCTTTCTAGCCTTCCAGAATACTTTGTTGTCCCTTCCTCTTTGGCAGATACAGATCTAAAGCAGTATTCATACTCATTTTTTGGAAGACGCATGCCAGTGAGTATGTATTGACTGAAGCCTTTTCCAGGCAATGGTGTTGACTTTCTATATCTTAAATTATGCATATACAGCATTTATTAACCTTTTTAAGTGGATTTTTAATGACCCATCCCAAGACTTGAAAGCATTTGTAGCACTAGAGACCAGTAATGGCCGAGAGTAACCTTTTCTGTTGCGGATGTGAACTTCTTTTTTTTTATTTGATGCAGCTGTGGTGCTGGAACCATTCTAATGGAAGTGCGCTTGTGAGGATGGCGAGCATTAAGGACCTGTTACATCAACGCAAAATAGACCAAAGGTAAGGGAACTATGCACACAGACCTTTTTGGAGGGAAGTACATACTTTGTCATTACCATGAAAGCAGCATTCGTTCATTCCTTAATGGAGGAATGCACATTTTTTCACAAACAGTAGCAGCGTAGACCGCAAAATCGAGCAGGGTTAAAAGAAAAAACAGGCTATTGTGTATAAGCTGGTAGCACAACAGGAAAAAGATTTCAAAGCAGCAACATGAGACGAAGTGCAATGCTGAGCAGAGTAGTACAAAGGGGGTCTGTTAGGAACTGCAGGTGTATGAATAGTAAGAGGCACTTGTGCGTTGTTTTCATTCTGTTTACATTTTGATGCATGAATATATTTAGACTATTGCTTTCTTTGTTTTTAATTATTAAGTTAGTCCGCTTCCACTATCACTTCATGGACTAAACCTTCAAATGTATTTCCAGTTTTGCAATCAAATTTAAGAAAACCCCTCTTATATGTTTATGTATTCACACAGTATATTGTAAACTTATTGAAAAGAAAATATTTCTTGCTTTTTTAGATGTTTTGCTACAGCAGGCAATATGGCTGATTCCAGGTTTTTCTCAGCACCTTCACAATGATCTCTCCTTATAGAAAGACCTAGGACTGAAATTTGAGGATTGTGTTTCCCTCAATAACTTCATTAACATACAGTGGAGAAGCCCCTCCTAACACTACAAAGAAGGAGAAGCAAGTAGAAATGTTAAACCCTTAAGAAGCCAAAAAAAAACCTAAGCCAAGTAAAAGCAATTTAAACTGCAGGAAGTACTTTTTTTTTTTTTTTTAGTTTATGCTATATGAATGGTAAAAAGTAACAAATTTAAAATAGATGTTATCTTAATTTGGCTGCAAATGTGGAAATACACTTAAAGGCAGTGGCGCCCACACTTTTTCATCTCGAGATCCACTTTTCAAATGACTAACTTCACAGAGATCTACCAAGGAAAAACACCTTCATTCAGGGGCGGAAGGGGGCGTGGCAGTGCATTGAAGTCAGTGCCCCCCGCGCACAGTGCGATCGCCCGTACCCAGAACGCAGGCACATTCCAGTCCAGTACGATCGGCAAAAATAATGCTTGCAGCATTTTTGCAGATCGCACTGGACAGGAACGCAGGCACTAATGCGATCACACTGCAGCGGGGGGCTTGGCTACGGTGCCATTGACTTCAGTGCAACCCCACGCCGCCTCTCACCCCTGAATGCAGGGAGCCGGCCGGCTTGTGTCCCAAGTGCATTCTAGAGGGTGAGCACTCAGACCTTTAGTGTGAACCGGCCTTCTCTCTTGGCTGTCTCATCTCTCACTTTCTCTGCTGTCTCATCTCTCACTTTCTCTGCTGTCTCATCTCTCACTTTCTCTGCTGTCTCTTCTCTCACTTTCTCTGCTGTCTCTTTTTTTACCTCCACTGCAGCAGCTTCCCATGTCTCCTCTCGTGCGCCGGCATCCTGTCCTCCCGTAGTACTCGCATGGCTGACATTGTGCACTGGGAGAGGTGTCCCGCCCCTTCCCGTCTGCGGCGTCTGACACATTCAGCCAGCAGCTGCACGATCACCGTGGGAGGACAGGACACAGGTCAGTGAGCCTATCGCGATCTACCAGTGTTCGCTTTGCGATCGACTGGTAGATCGTGATCGACCTAATGGGCACCCCTGCTTTAAGGGATATGTGGACCATAAAACTATGACTGCCATTGCTCCAGTATATCCTGTTTTAAGTAATGATCTTAATTTTACTGATGTGATCATTCTTCTCAATGTATTGGATTGTCTTGAAGCTCTTCCGCTCAGAAGAACTTTCCAAAGAAGAAAGTGAGCCTAATTTGTGGTCTCGGCATAGAAGGGAAACATCCTGTTCTTGGCATCCAATTTCTCTGCTGTCTCATCTCTCACTTTCTCTGCTGTCTCTTCTCTCACTTTCTCTGCTGTCTCTTTTTTTACCTCCACTGCAGCAGCTTCCCATGTCTCCTCTCGTGCGCCGGCATCCTGTCCTCCCGTAGTACTCGCATGGCTGACATTGTGCACTGGGAGAGGTGTCCCGCCCCTTCCCGTCTGCGGCGTCTGACACATTCAGCCAGCAGCTGCACGATCACCGTGGGAGGACAGGACACAGGTCAGTGAGCCTATCGCGATCTACCAGTGTTCGCTTTGCGATCGACTGGTAGATCGTGATCGACCTAATGGGCACCCCTGCTTTAAGGGATATGTGGACCATAAAACTATGACTGCCATTGCTCCAGTATATCCTGTTTTAAGTAATGATCTTAATTTTACTGATGTGATCATTCTTCTCAATGTATTGGATTGTCTTGAAGCTCTTCCGCTCAGAAGAACTTTCCAAAGA